GGTGCACACGTACAACATGTGCGTCGCAGCGGCAGGAGGCTACCGGATCGAGACCATCCGCTGCGACAAGGGAGGCGAGAACACCGGATCCGAATTTCGGGACTACTGCAATTCAGCATTCAGCTATCAAGCTCGAATGCGCCGCCACCAACACCCCTCAACAAATTGGTGTATCGGAACGGGACGGACAAACCCTGGCCGGAGTCACCCGGTGTCTTCTGAAGGATGGAGATTTTCCGCCGCCCATGTGGGGGGAGTTAATGCTGACTGCAGCATACCTGTTGAACAGGTCCCCACACTCAGCACTGCGAGGAGCTACGCCATACTCGAAGTTGCACAATAAGTCACCTGATTTCTCGGGACTTCGGGTCATTGGAGCGCGCGCCTTCGTACACCACGAGAGATGCCGAAAGAAGCTGGACGACAGAGCTTTCGAAGGCAAGCTATGTGGTTTCGGCCTAGACAGCCAGACCTACCGGGTATTGAATCCATCCAACGGGGCCGTGGTCGAGAGCCGGAATGTGACTTTCATCGAATCTCCACCCCGCTTAGTGCCCTTCCAGTATTCCACTGAAGCAAACGGGTACGAAAGCGACGCGGTGAGCTTCACCTCCCTGCTGGACAGCCCCCACTCGACGAGCGACCTGGACTTCACGGAGCAGAACGTACTCCTTCGGCAAGGAGTCCGGAAGATGCAGCAAGACAATCTCGCTCGGGAGGAGCTTCGCCTAGAACTGGACGGGCACGAGGACGAACATGGAAACGGGCAACATCTCGGCGACGGGGTCGCTCCATCACCACATCTCCCATCGACGCCAGCTGGACCGTCATCCGAGACCAACACATCTAGCCCCAGTCCATCATCGTCGAACCCGCCTGAACCGGACAATTCTGCATCAACTGGATCCTCCGGCATGCGGCGCCTGCAAGTCACCAGACCCAGCACGCGCGGGAAGCCCACCAGCGACGATCATATCGACGTCAACTTGGTTCCTGCCAATCTGGAAGTCACCATGAACGACCGCGGTCGAGCCCATGCTACAACGGGCCGCGTGGAGCCATCCGGTCTTTCCTTCACTCAGCTGGCTGAGATAGCCGATCAAGCACAGCTCCCATGCCCTGGCGATACCGAGGATTTCGCCCACGTTGCGGAAGACCCCTTCACGGGGCCTCGTGCTCACGCCTACGTCACGACCACTCACGAACACCACGGGATCTTGGAGGAGACGAATCAAGCGATCAAAATCCCCAACACCTACGACGAAGCCATGAGCTCTCCCCAGCGCGAATAATGGAAGGAGCGTGCAGCAAGGAAATGGACATTCTGCGGAAACACAACGTCTACAATCTGGTGCCCCTCAGCAGCGTTCCCAAGGGAGAGAAGATCCTCGGAACGAAATTCGTTTTCAAGAATAAGCTGGACGGACGCTTCAATGCTCGCCTGGTAGTCGGAGGACATCGTCAAAACCCAGGACAGGACTACGGACGCAGCTACGCACCAGTATGCCGTATCGGGAGCATTCGCATGACGTGCGCCATTGGCTGCCACAACAACTGGCCCATCTACCAACTGGAC